TAGCTGGTATTTAGAATTCTTTGCCTTTATTTTAGGTTCAGTTGCAGAGTCTTCTTCAAAGCAAATATGTGGAATATTTCATTGAACAAGTCTTAAGCTGGCAAAATAAGTTAAACATAGCAGACTCAGTCATTTTTACTTGGCTGGAAGTCCAGCGAACTTGGTCTCACCTGGAAAGCATTTTTGTTTGTTCAGAAGATATTCGAATCCAGCTTGTGAAAGATGCTAGAAGATTCGATGGAGTGGATGCTGAATTTAAGGTTTGTCAAAGACAGGCTGTATTCTATGCTAGCAAAGTTTTGTAAAGAAACATGATTCAGGGTGTCATATTTCTAAAAATGAATATATTTTTGCATTTCAGTAAGCAGGAGTAAGGAAATTTTTTTCTGTAAAGGGCCAGGTAGTAAATATTAAATATTTTAGCTTTTGCAGATTGTGTAGCCTCTGTAACACCTACTCAGTGCTGCCACTGTAGCACGAAAGAAGACATAACATATAAATGAATGTGCATGGCGATCCGCTAATAAAACATTAATAGACACTGAAATTTGAATTTCACTTAATTTTCAAGTGTCACAAAACATGTTTCTTTTGATTTTTTTAATCATTTAAAAATATAAAAACCATTTTTAGCTTCTGGGTCTTACAGAAACAGACAGTGGGCCATGTTTGTCCCATGGGCCATAGATTGCTGAGCCCTGCAGTAAGAAAAGTAAATAGATTCATCTTCCTAAGTAAAAGACTGAGGTGGAGCAACAGGTAACAAATAGACTAGTTGGTTTTTCTTTTCCAGAAGAGCCACAGAAAACACATGGAGCTGTGCACGTAATAATGATAACTGATAGACTTCTAGTAAAGAATTATAGTTATACCTTTCTTATAAAAAAGGGGATTAAATGTTTTCTTCTTTCTACCTAAAGCAGAACCCCCGGAGAAATTTTGATTCATTTAACGTTTAAGGAGGAAAAGATAAATTTTTTTAGCACTCTCTAGTTCTTATGTAGATATACTTAAGATTCTAGGGGGGCATGTGCTCGCTAACTTTCTCCTTCCCTCCCTCTCTCCCTCTCTCCCTCTCTTTTCTCCTCCCCTTCTCTTCCCCTCTGTCCTCCTTCCATTTCCCTTCCCCCTTCCTTTTCCTTTCTTTATTCTTTTTTGTTTTATTTAGAAGATAGAAAATCTGTGTGGTCCTGGAATGGTGGTAATTCCCGTCACATTGATTTTGATACAAATTATGTGATTATACATTATTGTCTTATTTTAAAGTCAAAAAGCAAAAGTAAACAGACGTGGTGTCAGGCATTCCTAGAAGTCTCCTTAATCTTGCCTCCTTATTGTTTGCTCATTCTTCATTTTTTGATCCCCAAAATGGATTAAAAATTTAGAAATTTCTAATATCAATGGCTCTATGTTGTACTTGCATACAGGAGTTAATGTTCAAGACAGCCAAAGTAAAAAATGTTTTAGAAGCAACATGTGGGCCTAGTCTCTATGAAAAACTTAAAGATTTACAGTACAGGTAAGAATAAAGTTATACACAGTGATCAGTTTGCTATAATTTTATGAAATTTCTTTCACATACCTAATACCATGTTATCATAGGTACAGCCTCCACTGAATTGTTTTATAATTTTGCTTAGAATTGTTTAGTTGCCTTATACATATGAGGTGGTATGTATATACTGTGATTTAATGTAAATAACTACAAATATATTTCTGTTTTCTGAAGAGTATTATAATAGTACATAGTATTATATACTATAATAGTATTATAATAGTAAAATTAGAATATCTTATTTACAAGAGAATTGACATTCTCTGATCAATTCTTTCATCAAACTGCAAATACTGATCGAGCATCTACTGTATGATATGACCTGGGACTGCACTCAGTTATTTTAGTTCTTTAGTTTGTGTATATTCATATATATTTTATTGTATATATTTCATTTTATTAGAAATTATCCTTAGAGAACGTATTAGCATTTTTGAAATCCTTGCCCTAAGAGCCATTTGTAAAAATAATTTTCACATATAATTCTACAACAGTTAATGATCATAAGAATATGCTGGCTTTTGATTAATAATGGTCAAATCAGCTACTAAAATGAAATTGTAATCACTTTTTATCGCAAGGTAGGAAAAAGAAGGTAAAATACATATCACATAAGCAAAACTGTTTCATAGTCTGGCAGTTTTTTGGTGATAAAAAGGGTGAATTGCTACAGAAGCAAACTATTTCTGTTTGGTCAATGACCTGGGGTTCTGCCTTTGGGTCATTTCCACTCTACTAAGGCAAGAAGGTGGAACTGATTCTGTATCTCATGACTTCTCTGAATTACCTGAGAAAGGTACAGGCACTTGTATTTTGTAGACATTCGTGGCCAAGAGAAGACCTTAAGCCAATTACATCTTACTAATGGATTTTGTGTTCAAGTTGAGCGATAGCAAACCTAGTCTTCTCCAGTGCTGATTAAGAGTGTCGTTAAGAATGGGAGGAGAGAGATAAACCTAAGTCTGATCTATATTTAGCCACAACTAATGGAGTATGTGTGTGTCTGTATCTATTTCCTCCTACTTGCCACGACTTGTGTATTAGTCGTAAGCAAGATGGTGGTGTCAGGGAAGGAGGCAGGCTACCTGCTACAGTGAGCTTACTGTGATGCATGGACAGGCGACAGGAGCTGGGTGTTGCTTTGTTGAAGTTTTAATGACCAGATGGACAAAATATACTTAAAAAGAATTTTCATTCATCTAGGCTTTCTCTTTGTGAAAAAGCTCTCACTGAATACCTGGAAACCAAGCGCGTAGCTTTTCCTCGCTTCTATTTCATCTCTTCTGCTGATTTACTAGACATTCTCTCAAAGGAAGCTCAGCCTAAGCAGGTAATATTTTTTTGAAAGTCTTATATTATACGATGTTAGCTAAGGAAAGTCACAGTTTCTCTATCATTGTCAAATGCCACCTGTCACGTCACGTGCCAAGAATTAGAAAATCTGCAGTTCACATTCTTAATGCGGCAACAGAGGGCTGTCAGAGGCTGTGCAAAAGGAAGTAGGAGGAATAACTGCCTGGTACTCGGTAAAGGGGAAGGGTAGTAAATGTAGAAGGCTTAGAGTCCTGAAAGGAGTCGACAGAAAGAAACACTGGCTCCAAATGCACCAGAATTCTGGGACAAGACCTGGAGCATCTCTTACCTGGTTAGCAGTTTTCCTAGGAAGGAACGGGTCACATGTTGGAAGGAGACTGTGGCTGGCACTACTCCCTTAACTCCAGAGTAACCTTTATAACTATCACATTGGACTAATCTTCAGCACTAAGATTGATTTTAATAATTTCAGGCTCATCCTCTAACCCTTTAATTTTGCCCCACCTGTACAAAAATCATGCACCACCTGTTTACTGATCCCCATGTCAATATTTAAAGCAAATAAAAGCAGATATTATATTTTGTAATCTCAGAGCTCAGATCAGAGACAAATTTTGTGCAATTCTAAAATTGTACTCCTTTCTATAAACTTTTAGAGGATATTGCCTTTCACTCAGACTTATTCAGTTGTTCACATTCATTGAGACCTTCAGTTGTTACAGCAGACTTTGGTTGTTTCTTCTTGGGTTTGTTTGATATTGCAGATTATTTTGAAACTGAAGCTTGTGCTGTATCATGATGGAGTTTTCTCCATGGTCTTTTTCTTGGAAAAATATTTTTTCAGTCGCTATTTCTATGCCATTTTCTTTAGCATATGTGTCTCTTCCCATTGTAGTTTCCTAAATTTTCCTGTTCTTTGGATACAGTATTTATCTTTTTCATTATTTAACTGTAAACCTAAATTCAACTGGATGGCTAGTCTTGTTGATAATACAAGTGCAGTCTTGCTATTAATAACGGAATTGTTGGTCAACTTGGGCAACATCTTCAGTGTCACTATTCAGATACTGTTTTGTACGTCCGTGCTAAATTCTAGATGGCTTTGCAAATCAAATCCATCTGACTAGATTGACTAGGAACCCATTATATCCACCTCTTACATATTTATATAATATACAATGCTTTAAAAAACCCTAATGTCAAACATAATGGTAATAACACACTTATGCTCCGGTCGTCCCCTGGGGATGTTCTCCTGACCGGCAGCCAGACCCCTCTGCCTGGGGTGACTATATGAAGTAGAGGGTATCATATTCTGTTGAGGTATGTTTTCCTAAAGACCTTTCCAATCCAAAATGCTTATTATGCAAAATGAATTTTCAATATGTAAATTAGAAGAGAGATGCATAAATCTGTAAGTAAGATAGCATTCTTTTTCTTTTAATCACATTCTTTAAACACAATAAAAATTTGTGTGACTGGTTTATTGAACAATATTCATTCCGTAAAATAACAGTCATTAAACAGTTTTATTTTTCTGCAATTACTGATGCCAAATGTGCTCTGCTGAATCTCTTTACACTGGTAGTAGACCCCTTTATCACATTTTGAGCAGATACAGAAGTTTCCTGGTCTCCTTTTCTTATTAAAAAAAATAAATAGATAAACCAAAACCAACTTAACAAGGTCTAGTTAGAAATTCCCATCTCACCTCCATGTCAAGGCCAGGCTTTCATATAAGAACTTGAGGTTGGGAGGGAGATTCTCTCATTCTCTCTCCTACCCATTTATCATGAGGAAAGGTTTGGGGTGTGATCTGTCCACCATTGCCCTTGCTAATGATTGTTCCTGCTTCTCTGGCCAGCAGTGACTGTGGATCTTCACCCTTAACAGTGAGGATCCACATGTTGGGTCTCTTGTGGAACACATGTGCAAGTCCTCCCCATGGATATATGTGGCAGAGCCAACTCCATCTTAACTCTTCCAGTTCTTGCCCTTGGCAGGGTAACCAGCCCTCTGGGTACATCATCTTCTTCCTGTTCCACCTAGACATGTGTCCAAATGAGGGACACATTGTAGAATCACTTCCTGTAGGTACCTGTGGTTTCTATGAGTGATTCTTCAACCCCTCTCACTTAACTTCAGAGTGGAAGTTGTGGGACACATTCCTTTACCTTACCTGCAGGGGGAGAGGAAAATGCCATGGCATTCTCCACTGGGATGATAATTCACAGTTGTGAGGTGCCCTCCTTTTCTCCCCGCCTCCCTACAGTACTTTCCATAGAAGGGGTATATGGAGGTAGATGAGGGTAGGGTGTTGAGATGTGTCTTACCAAACCCTGGACGGACTAACCTGTCCTAACCCATGTCTGCTTTCTTCAGAATGTACACGTACCCGGCGACTTTTTGTCCTAGGCTGGTGCTGGAGGAGCAGATCACTCATTATATTCTTATCACCAGCTCTCTTCACCCTCCTTTTATTTATTTTTAAACTTTTTATTTTTGATTTACATAGATACATAATAGTTGTACATATTTATGGGGTACATGTGATGTTTTTGTATGGGCATACAATGTGCAATGATTAAGTCAGGGTAATCGGGATACCTATCACCTCAAACATTTATCATTTTTTTGTATTAGGAACATTCCAATTCCACTCTTGTAGTTGTTTTAAAATATACAATAAATTATTGTTAACTGTACTCACTGTGTTTTTGTACCCATTAACCATCCCCTCTTTATCTTCCATTTCCCACTACCCTTTCTAGCCTCTGGTAACCATCATTCTATTCTCTTTCTCTATGAGTTCGATTTTATTTTAGCTTCCACATAGAAGTGAAAACATGGGATATTTGTCTTTCTGTGTCTGGTTTATTTCACTTAACATTATGTCCTCCACTTCCATCCACGTTGTTGCAAATGGCAGGATTTTATTAATTTTTATGGCTGAATAGTTATTCCATTGTGTATATGTGCCACATTTTCTTTATCCATTCATCCGTCGATGGAGACTTAGGTTGATTTCATATCTTGGCTATTGTGAATAGTGCTGCAATAAACATGGGAGTGCAAATATCTCTTTGATATATGATTTTCTTTCTTTTGGATATATAGCCAGCAGTGGAATTGTTGGATCATATGGATAGTTCTGTTTTTAGATTTTTAAGGAACCTCCATACTGTTCTCCATTGTGGCTATACTAATTTACATCCCCATAAACTTTGTCTCAGGGCTTCCCATTCTCTATGTCCTTGCTAGCATTCATTATTTCCTATCTTTTGGATAAAAGCATTTTAACTGGGGTGAGACATTTTCTCATTGTAGTTTTGATTTGCGTTTCTCTGATTAGTGGTGTTGAGCATTTTTTCATAGCTTGTTGACTATTTGTATGATTTCTTTTGAGAAATGTCTGTTCAGATCTTCTGCCCATTTTTAAAGCAGATTATTGATTTTTTCCTATCAAGTTGTTGGAGCCCTTTATATATTCTGGTTATTAATTACTTGTCAGATGGGTAGCTTGCAAATATTTTCTCCCACTCTGTGAGTCATCTCTTAACTTTGTTGATTTTTCCTTTGCTGTTTAGGGCCTTTTTAGCTTGATATGATCCCATTTGTTCATTTTTCTTGGGTTGCCTGTGCTTTTGAGGTCTTACTCAAGAAGTCTTTGCCCAGCCCAATGTCTTAGTGTGTTTCCTCAATGTTTTCTTTCTAGTAGAAGAAAACTTACAATTTCAGGTCTTAAATTTAAGCTTTGATCCATTTTGATTTGATTTTCGTATATGGCAAGAGATAGGGGTCTAGTTTCATTCTTCTGGATATGGATATGCAGTTTTCTTAGCACCTTTTATTGAAGGTACTGTCCTTACCCCAGTGTATGTTCTTGGTACCTTTGTCAAAAATGAGTTGACTATAAATGGGTGGATTTATTTCTAGGTTCTCTATTCTGTTCTGTTGCTCTATGT